TCTCATCAAAATTTTGTTTTACTGGACAAATATTCCATTTATTGATTCTAGTAGAAAATACTTAAAAGAAACTTGCTGAATCATAACGAAAATTAAAATGTCCGTATCGTAAAAAAATCTACTTTTGCAATTTCTCTTAAACACCCGATCGATACCCGAAAATAACAACTAAAAAGTGTTTTGAAAAAAGAGCTGAAATTATTGTATATGTATAGGGTTGTTCGGAAAGGCATTTTGTTTTTTTTTTGTGGAAATGAAAGACAGTTTTCGTATAATAAACAAATACTTTATTAAATTATATATTGACCGTTCTGGAGCATTTATGGGTTAATGTGACGTGATATATACCATATGAATATCGTTTTCTATTACTTTTAAGACAATTACGACAAATATTAACAATTTAAGAAAAAAACTTTTCAAAAGAAAAAAAATTTGGCAGACCTGTGTAATCAATCATTTCGATTAATATTTTTCTGATTAATCGAAATGATTGGCGATATTATCAAATAGCTCAATTAATCACTATAATTCAGCGATCCGAATAATCTTTTAATCGAAATAGTCTATCATTTTATTTAATTGTTTTACCGTAGGCATATTTTACTATAATCCCATTTATTTACAGTTTACGGATCTCCCGTATTAAAAGAGTGATTTTTTTGTTTTATTTTACATTAAAATTTATTTTCTAAATAGTTAACAAAAACATTGCCTACTTGTCATATAATATTAAGTCAGTACACTTGTCACGATGACATTTTATGACGAATATTATTAATTGGACCACCCAAAAAGTTTTGAAAAAGTTTTCAACGATACAAAAGAACGCACGTAGATGAATTTGAAATGGGTGGGAATTACAGCATTTTTTTTTTTAGTTTGGCGCCCACCCCATTTATTAATATCTTAACAACTGCCAAGTTCTTGACCCACTTCATTTCTAAACAGTAAAATTAGTAGACATATCTTTTATTCACCTACATTGCGGTGAATCATCATTATAATCCTTTAAAAATATTTGCAGGTGAGCATAATATTTAAGTGTAACACATGATATGTGCGCATTTAAGACCAATGTCTTTTTTGTTCTAGTAATTATTAAATTAGTGTTTAAAGCCATGCCTAGTTATTATTATTTACATTTTCACAAATCTTTGTCAAAAGTTTCCAATTGGAAACATAAATATGAGAGACCATTCCTCTAAAGCTAATTTAAATTTCTTACTCAATTAATGATCAGAAGACATCTTTCGGTAAAAATCAAACATTCTTTGCTGGTTTATTGTGTCTATTGAGACATCTACCGATTAAAACTGAGTCCTTCCAACTCCGACGCCGGATGTAAAAATTTAAGAAGGAATTCCAACTGATGACGACCTTTAGACTCGAAGCAAGACAGCGTCACTTATCCAGAAAACGTTGTTCGTAACCATCTGCAATTCGACCCCCCGCGTCCACTACAAATATCAGTATAAAAAAGTGGTCAAAAAATATTCTTTACTCGAGTACAAAATCCACATGTTCAAATTTGACATGTGCTGTTTATTATTAAAATTTTACGTAAAGGATTTTCAATGAGTCACAGGGACTTCCTGTTATTTTTAAACATTTAAATTCATACCTACTACTTCCTTGCACACCTACTTATATGTGTAGTCATGATACTGCACGTCTTAAACTGGATAATACGTTTCTTTCTTAAAATAAACTGCCTTTATGGACAAAATGTACAGGTCTGTAAACATATCTACACAATGTGTATACATAAATTGGTAAAAAAGTTGCACGTGGCGATATTTACATTATTCTATATGTATAATCCAGTGCACATTTTGTTCAAAAACAACTCATCGATATTTAACAAGAATTAAAATAATGATCATATTTTACATATTACACATTACANATTTGACATCACTCTTAGACTTTAAACCTACTGTTTATTTTCAATATGTTAAAGTATAAAATAAAGTCTATTTTATAAATGAAACATTTAATGACTATCATGATAAGATTAAATTTACTAACGAAATGGAATCCAACAATAGTATCTGCTTACTAGATCTAAAAATCTCCATATCTGACAACCAAATTTAACTGATTGGTTCAGAAAACCTATGTATCCTAGGAGATAGCTTCATTTTTACTCGAACAACCCTATTAGTAAAAAACAATCTGGTTGGCAAAGTCATTCCTTTATCGATGCAAGCACATAATCAAAAACACTCTAGTAAGGAATTACGACCCCATCAACTTCATGAACAATAACGTAAACAAAGGATTTAAGCACTTGGGACGTAATAAAGCCAATACCAGTAATATTATTTCTGATAGCAACTCGAACAACATTGTCCCTCCATACAACCCTTTGTTTTCTAAACAATTTACAAATTGTTTCAAAACTTTCAACATTTTTCAAAAACAATAATCAACTTGATAATATCGTGAAAAAAATGAAAAGGTAAATTATCATCCCACGTCATCACAATATTGATTAATGTTGGATTTTTCACCCCTGATATAAAAATAAAGTTTGAAGATACAGAATATGTGGACCTGCAGAAGTAATTCGTTGAAGTTCATTTAAAATATTTAATTAATTTTTAAAAAAATTTCACCTGGAATTCTGGAAAAGCAGACGTAAAAAGTACATAATAATTTGTTCCGAACCCGAAGGCGTTTAAGTCAGAGTGTTGCACTAATAATGAGAAATATTTGAACTGAAAAATCTTGCGATCAACAACTGAAGGTTTATCTCAAATCACTTACTGAGGTAGACAGTGAAAATTGTAAGCTATTTGACGTATCCCTATCATATTTAACAGGAATTGTATGTAATGTACTCTCAGTGAACAAATCCAATCAGCGCTTGACCAGTTTTTTCACTAAAACCTTTTTGTTCCTTAGACAGTTACTATTCGTTAGAGTGATTGTACAGTCTGTTGAAGAAGCATTCAAAAAATAAAAACTAAATTAAAAGGAAAAGTCTTTGCCAACATTTTCGAACCTTACTGTAATTGCAATACAAAGTTTCATGGCTTTCATAAAACCGTTCTAATGGCGCTCTTCACATTGCGTCTCATTTAACGTTTCACAGTTTCGACTTGTGCGTATTATTTTCAAGTGCGTTTTTCAGCTGCTTCGGTTGTTCGTACAGAGGTCAACAGTTTCTAAATCTGCGAAGACACAAGCACACGCACGCGAGCGTGCAATCTAATTGAGTTTTTCAGGCTAAATTTAGAGCTGAAAACGGACCTGATCGGTCCATGACTGGACCGCAATCGTTGACAATTTAACAAACCAGGAAAGAGATGCAATCCAACTTTATTCGCAATCACGCCCAGTTGTTCTAATAAATAAATTGAATTCATAGTTTTATGTGAGTTTACATTTGCTGTTAATAACGTTTATGTTACTGCGGTCAGTGATCTGACCATTTGGACGGTTGCCACAGGGTGCATTTTCGGAAATAACTATTATCAAAACAAAAACGAACAATCATCTGAAATGATTACATGAGCCGTTTTTGACGTTCATGCTCAATAGTGAGAATGAGTTACTATATTACTGAAACACTGGTTTACCTTACACAGCAAATTGTGAAACTATTAATAACAGGTCATCAAATTTGGAGATTAAGTAAAAGGAAAATTGCCATCCGAATCCGACCTCTTCATTGCCTCACCCCCTCATAACCTTAAGAAATCCTAGCGTCAGACCCCAAAAAATACAATGTTTGCTCTTTTGAGAGAAAACTAATAAGTAAATTAAAAGATCAAACCAATAAGAGAGTGGCCATTTATGTCAATGTACTTTTATCGATAATTTAGAATCTCCTGAGTACGTCTGGATTTGATGATACCCTTAACTCAAACCCCAAAAAAATTGACATTTTTGGGTAGTCAGAGAGTATTATTACATGAAGTAAAAGGTCAAAAAGACTAAGAGAAAATCCTAATCTGCACTACGTCATATTTAGGCTTCCTAAATCTGACTAAACCGAAATAGATACGTAAATACAATTGTCAACTTTGATCATAATTTAGTCATTCAAAGCACATTCTATTTCTCGTCCATTAATAAGCGATTCCGGGATTCGATACCGAAAATGAGCAAAACTAAATATTTATGTAGTAAAAGATATTAAATTTCACTTCCTAAAATTTCTACCGTTTAGGTTGCTACTACTTACCTACTAATTTTGTCAAAATGTTGAGGTCCTTGATGAGCGTTTATACGAAGGAAGCCTAGCACCTGGTTTATTTCAGAGCTAATCGATGCATTAGATGCGGTTTACAAACAAAACCATTCAAAGCCAAACTGAGGAAGAAAGCAGCATGACTCTCAAAACATCACGTTCCGCAAACTCGGGAAGTTATAACTAACCCGGAAATAAAATATTACATGGCGCTGAGGCAAAATCTGCAAACAAAATCGCTTTGAGAAATAGTTAGAAACAAATTCAATAATTTGAAAGCATTTGTAATTAAACTTAGACGAGAACTAGTAATTTGTTCTTTTCCTTCATAGCAGTAACCTCATTGACAGGAAGTGATTGCTTATCACGGTTTTACAGGCAATAAATATGCTGGTTTATGGGATTTAAAATTCCTAGCAAGTATTTCCTTTATTTAATTGTCGGATTAACTTGTGTAACGGGACCAATGCTGTAAACATGCCACTCCTCGCAGGATATAATTAGGCTTAAAACTCATAAAAAAAGGCTGTAATCCTCGAAACCCACATTTGTTTTAGTGAATTGAAATTATTTTTGCCGCAACATTCTGGTCCACTACAAGAATACCTTAGGACATAAAATCTTAACCAGTAAGAAGGAAATGTAGTTCAAGGTTCAAAATACAACATCGAAAACATATGTACATATATCGCTCACGTATAAATAATTAGTTACATCAGCTTTCAATCGTTTTTCCTTTTTTTTTGAAAATTCCGAAACTAGATTTGAGGCTATTTTCTATATATCGTAGTTTTTCTAGGCGCTGCTCTTTTACACGCCGAGGTGGCTATGGAAAAACTGGGAGGGTGGAAAGATACATGCACTAATGATGGACCTGGATGTTGGTATATGCACTGATTTGGAGAAAAAACAGAAGAAGAAGCTGATGTTGGACTATCTGTGGGAAAACCTGAGGTATCACAATTGGTGGGCTTACAAGTACTATCTCTGTGAGGTTTTGGCCCTTGTAAACGTAGTAGGTGAGTAAACAATCATTCCAAAATATCGCAAAGGTTTTCAATCTTGAACACAAAAAAGAACACTTTTGGGCGTTTCGTTCCCAATACTACTAATGTTGCTGGACGGACAATCTCTCCAGACATTTTAGGAATCGTGGAAATGGATGAATGGTGGTTGGAGTGAGAAATATGAGACAGACAAAATAAAGACAGAATAGAATGGAAGATAATCAGCATTTGCCTAAGTGAGCCATGCTAAGCAATGGTCTAAACCTCCAGACGACTACGCTTGCCAACCATGAATGCACATTTTCACTAGTTTTTCTCAACGTGATACAGTAATTAAACCCCAAAACAGAGCGTAATCTGTAGAGATTTACCACCAACTGCTTACCAAGAACTTATTATAAAGTAAAGTGACACTATAGGGTGACCTAAAAGTTTAGACTGTCCGGTAGGACACCAGTTTGATTCCAGATCCGCCAGTGCTGATCCAAATTTTTGTCTAGTTACTTGGATCATTTAATCGAATATCGGGACAATAATTTTCTACAGATATATAAAATCATTCACTTCTTCTTTGTCTTCTTTTCATCTATCTCATATTTCTTTCCGTAGTCATCACCCACACATTCCCACGATTTCTACCCTCTGGAAGGACTTTCTACCCACTAGCATTAGTAACTAGTAGATGTGAAACATCTAAAAGTACTTCCCTTAGCTAGAGCGACACCTACATACATAGCATATAATTATTTAGTGATGTTCGTTCTCGTACTTATTCCTGTGAAATTCTATCGTATGTGAAACTCTGTCATATGTATTTGTTTTGTTCAATTTTTTTCAGGGCAAATGTTTCTCATGAATCGCTTCTTCGACGGTGCATTTTTGACCTTTGGCATCGACGTCATAGCGTTCTTGGACAGCGACCAGGAAGACCGCGTGGACCCAATGATCCAAATCTTTCCCCGAATGACAAAGTGCACGTTCCACAAATATGGGGTGTCGGGTGAGATAGAGCGACACGACGCCATTTGCATTCTGCCATTGAATGTGGTGAACGAAAAGATTTATGTGTTCTTGTGGTTTTGGTTTATTATTCTCGCGGTATTAACGTTTGTTACCGTTATTTATAGGATTATAATTATTTTTTCGCCGCGCATGCGAGTTTATCTATTGCGCATGCGCTACAGATTGATTAGGAAGGACGCAATTGACTTGATAGTGCGTAAGAGCAAGATGGGCGACTGGTTTCTCTTTTACATGCTCGGAGAAAACGTCGACACGGTCATATTTAGGGACGTAATGCAAGAGTTGGCAAACAAAATCGGTAGACATAATTTCCACCACATTGGCGGATTTAAAGGAGATATCCAAGAGGCGTAGCTTTTAATACGATTAAATGGTACTTATCCTTTCGTAATATTTTCAAAAGACCATGTAATAAAAATATTTAAGGGAAAAAGATAAAGCAAACTTCAATTTAATAACCGAGAAAATGATATATGAAGCTTCAAGGGTGCTCTAAATTGTTTTTAAAACTTGTCTATTATGATGCTCGGAAAATATTTTTCTTTCTTTTCAATTTTAAGTGTAGACTGATAGACTATCAATATAATAATCGAGACGAGTGAAAAATCGAGGGCAACAAAACTCTCATAAAAATCCCCACCGCCCTGAGACACAAAATTATGATAATGGAGAAACTAAGCCAACTGAAGTCCTTCAGAGGAACCAATTTATCATTAGTTTATAAAGTCGTAGGTCTCATTTTCACCGACGTTTACTTTTTTTTTCATCGATCAGAATATCTCATGTATTTTTNATTCTTATAGAACAATACCAGGTTAGAAAATGCGTCACATTACAATGATTCATTTTTTATTTTTGTTGTGATTACAACCCAAGTAACTCGTAAAAATACAGAAATTATAACAACCTGGGTCTAATCAATTTATGCTATACAATCAGAATTTCGGCTTCTATTTTTACAAGAATCGAATGAAGGGATAACTCATCTTAATTTAATATCAACTACAATGGAAGCATTTGCCCTTTGCATTTTGTATTTTCAAAATAGAAAATGAATATATATAAATGCTGTCCAAGTACAAATAGAAATAATATTTAGAATATACGTAAATAATTAATCCTCAAAAATATTTAGATGTAAACTTAAATTTCTATTAGTGTACTGAAAATAAAGAAAAAAGAATATTACCATCGATCTACTTCCAAAACTGCCGACACAAATTATGCAAAGAAATTAGGGTAAAATATAATCAAAAATTGGATTAAGGGTATGCGGTAAAATTTGAAATTTAAATTTGAACACAGTACGGTAGTTATATACTCGTTTATATATATAAATACAGTGTAAATTCTTTATAACGTCACTCGATTTAACGACAAACTCCTTAAAACATCGAAATTGCTTGACTTTGGTTGGTTTACATTGTTTTCTATACAATATTACACTCTATATAGCGTCACGCTCACTCTATTTAACGACAACAATGCGGCATTATAAATCATTGAGCA